ACTAATTGAGTTTACGTCCTCAAGTGATTTTGTAATTTCAACAGAGTAAAACATTGAAATGACTTAAAATGTAAAATGCCTGGGAAAGAAAGAAAATCAGCCATCAATATGCAAAGTGCAGAAGAAATCATCTGAGTAATTAAGATAAAATACTTAGAGAAGTCAGGAATTACCATCAGCATAGTTGTGTAAGTAAGCACTAAAATATAGATTTAACCTCGTAATGCAAGAAAGGAGAGGGGCTTTAAGTCTTTGCCCGGCTGATCATATCTCAGTCCACAAAAGGCTGAGATATTTCCATTTTACTACTCTGTTCCAGAGAACTTGGAAGTTTGACTGATTAAAAAAGAAATCACAAAGGACTAGAATCACATTTTGAACACATGTCAAAAAGCACATTGCTTTCTCATATTCTTTCATTTTCCCCCACTCGGATCATTTTGATGGTGTTTCTGTTCTTTTCAAAGGTTTATAGCATCATATTTGTATATTTTTTATTGCACTATTCAGCTCATCCTCTTCATGGTCTAATAAATATAAATCTAATATAAACTTGTATGACAGTGAACAAAAGTATTGTCTGATTCATAAGAATGAATCCTTTTCTGGAAGTAACCATTTCACACAGATTCAGATAAAGAATAGGCCAAAGACATCTCATAATTCAATAAAGAGGTTCTCTTGGAATATATTACAGTTAATAGGGTAGAAAAGATGACATATGAGGAAAAAAAAACATTAAAGAGCTGAGGCACATTAAAGTATGTAAATGGTTAAAAAATAATAATAAGATTTTAGAGTTATATGTCGTATGCCATTCTATCCCTGAAAAGTCTCGGGACTTTTCTAGAAAATGCTTTACATTACATAAGTTAATTTCTTTCTTTTTATTTAATACATTCATCCTCTGGAAGGAGTATGGAATAGAGTTGAGCGAACCAGGACTGTAAAGTTCGGGTTCGTACCGAACATTATGTTTTTTGGACCCCGGACCCGAACACGGACATATCACTGTATGTTCGGGTTGGAGTTCAGGGTTCGGCGATTTAATGGCGCGTTTTTAAAGGCTGCAGGGCAGCCAATCAACAAGCGTTTGACTCGTGTGCCCTTAGAAGCCATCAAAGCCATGCCTACTAATGGCATGGCTGTGATTGGCCAGTGCAGCATGTGACCCAGCCTCTACATATAAGCTGGAGTCGCGTAGCGCCGCACGTCACATGAGCTCTTATTAGTGTAGGGACAGGATGCTGCCACTTTCATGGACATATTAGGAAAGAATTCGGCAAACTAGTACATTAGTGGGTTGCACTTCATATCTGAGAGTCAAATAGAAGCGTCAAATACTGCGGTTACATCAGAGTTTTAAATAGTCAATTTTTTTGGGGTGCTAAAAAGTACATTAGTGGGGTGCACTAATACTGCGGTTACAGCGCAGGTGTAAAAATTCTAATTGTTTTGGTGCTAAACTGCTAAATGCTACATTTTGGGGCATGCTCTTCATATCTGAGAGTCAAATAGAAGCGTCAAATAGTGCTGTGACATAGCATTTTTAAACATTCAAATTTTTTGCCTGCTGAATAGTACATTTGCAGCCTGCGGTGCACTTCATATCTGAGAGTCAAATAGAAGCGTCAAATAGTGCGCTGAGTTGTAAACATTCTAATTGTTTTGCTGCTAATCTGCTAAATAGTACATTTTGGGTCCTGCTCTTCATATCTGAGAGTCAAATAGAAGCGTCAAATAGTGCGCTTACAGCACTGTTGTAAAAATTCTAATTGTTTTGCTGCTAATCTGCTAAATAGTACATTTTGGGGCGTGCTCTTCATATCTGAGAGTCAAACAGAAGCGTCAAATAGTGCGCTTACAGCGCTGTTGTAAAAATTTTAATTGTTTTGCTGCTAATCTGCTAAATAGTACATTTTGGGGCCTGCTCTTCATATCTGAGAGTCAAATAGAAGCGTCAAATAGTGCGCTTACAGCGCTGTTGTAAAAATTCTAATTGTTTTGCTGCTAATCTGCTAAATAGTACATTTTGGGGCGTGCTCTTCATATCTGAGAGTCAAACAGAAGCGTCAAATAGTGCGCTTACAGCGCTGTTGTAAAAATTGTAATTGTTTTGCTGCTAATCTGCTAAATAGTACATTTTGGGGCGTGCTCTTCATATCTGAGAGTCAAATAGAAGCGTCAAATAGTGCGCTTGCAGCGCAGTTGTAAAAATTATTATTTTCTGGGTGCTAAACTGCTAAATAGTACATTTTGGGCGTGCTCTTCATATCTGAGAGTCAAATAGAAGCGTCAAATAGTGCGCTTACAGCGCAGTTGTAAACATTATAATTGTTTTGCTGCTAATCTGCTAAATAGTACATTTTGGGGCCTGCTCTTCATATCTGAGAGTCAAATTGAAGCGTCAAATACCAACATAACAATATTGTAATTCGGGGGCAATACCCTCACAAGTCAAACTGAGAGGTCAATTTATAGGGAAAACTGTTGCCTGGATACAATTCTAAAACAATTTCCATATGTCCTTTGCAGACTTTACATGCTGGAAAAACACAGGTGCCAACTGCTGTGGCTTTCGGCAGTGTGCAGACCGGCAATGAGGGCAGGGTTGAGGAGTGGGTGGAGGATGATGAGGTTCTAGACCCCACATGGAATCAAGGTCATGCGAGTGACGTGTGCAGTTAGGAGGAAGAGGCGCTGGTCGCACAGAGGCACCGGCACAGGAAAAGAGGGAGCAGGGTGCAAAAGCGGAGCGGCCGTCCCCTAGCGCTCGTCGGCATGTATTATCTTTAGAATTCCAACAGTTATCCAAGTAACAGATGGAGCGATAAAAGGAATCATTACAGATTTAATGAGCTATTCGCAGTTTCACAGTCCAGTGACCAGGACCCAGACACTGTCTTGGCGGCGGTCGGACGACTGGCACCCAGTATGCCTGATGTTGAAGTTAGGAGTCACTGTGTGGAATGGATTAGCAGGGTCTGGTGCAGGGTAACCGCACGCCCCCTGGTGTTGAGCACCAGCGTTTGTGCGGCCACATACCATGACCCTGATGCAGCTTCAGTAAAAACTGTACTGAATACCATAAGCCATCACCAGACTGATCCACAACTTGGAACAGGATGTCACATTTACTGTAGCGGCTGTGTGCGCTTTCGGCATTCTCACCCTGCTGCTGCTCGCCTGTCTGCGCTGCAGCGTAACTTCGGCCTTCCCGCTCACCGCCTCATGAGACTGTGCGAGCAGCAGCAGGCGATAGTGGAGTTTCAGATGCAGCACGCACGGGTCAGTCACTCTGCACCAGACTCACTGGCGGATCCAGGGGGGGGGCAACGGGGCAATTGCCCCCCCCGAGAAATCCGCCGGTCTCCCTCCCCTGCCAGCACATGCAGGCGCCAGCCCTGCAATGTGCCTGCGGACCGGAGGGGAGATCAGAGATCTCCCTTCCCGGTCCGCAGGCACTGTGCTGACAGCCGGCGGCGGAGGGAGGGAGTGAGAGAGAGGACCCGGGAGCTCAGTCTGCAGCTCCTCCGGGTCCTCCTCTCGTGAGATTTGAAGCGTTGCCGCGGTTACCGCGGCAACGCTCCAAATCTCGCGAGAGTGAACTCTAGCCCTGGAGCGCGGGCTAGAGTTCACTGTAACCACTGGGACCACCAGGGAATCACCACTTGGACCACCAGGGATCGAAATATGTCCCCCCTCCTCCCCAGCAAAGGTAAGAAGGGAGGGGGGACATAGGATATTTTTTTTTTTTAAATTAAATAAAGATATATATTATTAAAAAAAGCCCCCCCTACCCTTAACACACACACACACACATAGCGCCCATGCTGCCCCCCCATACACACACATACTGCCTCATACAATATACTGCTGCCCCTATGCTGCCCCCATACTGCTCCCCCCATACACACATACTGCCCCTATACACATACTGCCCCCATGCTGCTCCCCATACACATACTGCCCCCATGTTGCCCCCATACACACACATGCTGGCCCCCCATACACACATACTGCCCCCCCATACACACATACTGCCCCCCCTATGCTGCCCCCATACACATACTGCCCCCCATACACACACATACTGACCTCATACACACATACTGCCCCCCCATGCACACAGCATACTGCCCCCCATACACACATACTGCCCTCATACACACATACTGCCCTCATACACACATGCTGCCCCGCATACACACACACTGCCCCCATACACTGCCGCCCCATACACACACATTGCCCACATTCACACACACACTGCAACTGTTACACACACATACTGTCCCACACATACACTGCATCCCTGACATACACTGCCCCCCTACTCACACACTACAACCTTCACACACACACACACACACTGCTCACACACTGTCCCCCTCACACACACACACTGCTCACACACTGTCCCCCTCACACACACTGCACCCCTTACACATTGCACCACTCACACACACCACTGCTCCTATGCCCTACTACCGCCCCATTTCCCAGCAGACCTCAGGTAAGTTGTCAAACTGTTCTTAAACGGTTTGACTACTTACTCTAGGAGGGGGTCCCGGCACTATTGACACCATAACCACTACACTGAGCTGTAGTAGTTATTGTGTCTGGATTATTTCTTTAATCTACAAGTGCCCCTCCCGAGATCAGGCTCTGGATCCGCCACTGACCAGACTTGCCCTCCAATTGATCAGAGTTAAAGGATTTCAAGTGCACTCATTACAATTACAGGGCCTCTAAAGAGTCCTGTATTGTTATTTGTGGTCACTACCTCCCCGCGTCGGGAGTGGGTCATTTGCGTGCCTGCTGCCTTCCTTGCATGTGGTAGCCCTTTGTCAGGGTCCCTGTACGGAATTGAACCCTGATTCCCCGTTACCCGTGGTCACCATGGTAGGCGCAGTAAATGGCATCGAAAGTTGATATGGATTGACATACGAATGCGTCGTCGCCTTGTCGTTGGGGAGCACATTGAAAAAGTGCTCTAGCATGACGAGCTGGGTGATCTCCTCCGGGAACTTGGCTTGATGGGAGTTGAGCCAGTTCTGGGTGTCCCTTGTGATGTCACGGTGTATACCCAGATACATCAAAGCTGCTGCAGAAAGTGCGGGCCGTCTGTGCGCGCTTTCGGCGTTCTCACCCTGCTGCTGCTCGCCTGTCTGCGCTGCAGCGTAACTTCGGCCTTCCCGTTCACCGCCTCATGAGACTGTGCGAGCAGCAGCAGGCGATAGTGGAGTTTCAGATGCAGCACGCACGGGTCAGTCGCTCTGCGGATCGGTTTTCTTTTTTTATATGTCCCAATATTTTAGGGGCTACCCCAATTAAAATATATATATATAAAAAACAGTGTTGGCTACCTCCTCCTCCTCCACCGCTGCTTCCACCTACACCGCCAGGGTCACCGCCTCCTCAACTTATGGGTCACTTAGTATAAACTATGTACACAATAGCAGAGGCTTGTGAAGGCCTTTTCTCGATGAATCAGGAGTTGAGCATTTCTCCATGCATCAGGACTGCAAGAAATGCACCGCAGGCCGCAAATGTTTCTTTTTTATATGTCCCAATATTTTGGGGGCTACCCCAATAAAAAAATCTATATATATAAAAACCAGTGTTGGCTACCTCCTCCTCCTCCACCGCTGCTTCACCTACACCGCCACGGTCACCGCCTCCTAAACCTATGGGTCACTTAGTATAAACTATGTACACAATAGCAGAGTCTTGTGAAGGCCTTTTCTCCATGCATCAGGAGTTGAGCTCAGTTTGAACAATGAAAGAGAATACCCTACACTTCAACCCTCTCTCAAATGGATAATTCTGGTGATCCTCCTGACAGCCATGCTTTAGATTTTGATTTATATTCTTCCAAAGCTAAAATCAAAGATTCCATCTAGTGATATTTTATGGCTCAGCTGTATTTTTAATTTTTATGTTATTTTAAGTGATTTCCCTATCCACATTTGTTTGCAGGGCACTTGTGTTACTTTAGCCCCATTTTACTTCCTTTTGCAGCCCTCTAGCCCTTTCCAGGACTTTTTTAGAGGCATTTTAGTGCCCAAAAGTTCGGGTCCCCGTTGACTTCAATGGGGTTCGGGTTCGGGGTCAAGTTCGAGCCCGAACCCGGACTTTTTTTCAAAGTTCGGCCAAACCCGCTGGACCCGAACATCCAGGTGTAAACTCAACTCTATTATGGAACCTCAGAAAGTTTCACCTCTGGCACCCCTCACAATCTGCTTGTGGATGTCTCCGGAGGCAATACTTTAGGAGGGTGGTACTGTCAGGCCCTCGCACCCTGACCTTTTTACCTCTTGCTCTCTTCTCTTGCTGCATCTCCCTCTCTCTTTGTGGAGGCGGTGTGCCAGTGGGCACCCTCCTGTTCCAAAGTAGTCAAATTGTTTATTTGTGTTCAGATTTGATTTTTTTCACCTTGCCTAGTGCAGCCTCAAAGCTTGTTTAAACGTGCTGCACTTGGGGTGGAAGTTAATTCTAGATAGTCCCACAAGATTCAGGATTGTTGACAGGTATGTTATTATTTTGGTAGGACTAAGCAGCCCCATCAGGGCATGGGCTGTGGAAATCCTTGGCAATGAATAAGGTAGATATGGAGGAATGATTAGTAGAGAGGAAATGAGTGTATATGCAAGTCCACCTGCTCCACAAACTTTAGCCTTACTGGTTTATTGGGCACGTCTGGTGGACCCATGCTAATTTCTAACCCATAAAACTCTACAGATCATATCAGCTGACAGAGATCCCCTTCACCTCCAATTTTGGAATTTAGTTAACTCACAATTAATCTAGTCAATTTATTAATGCTCACAACCTTGCACATAATGTAAAGATGTACTGCTGTTCTTCAATGGACAATAAGCATCTAGACCACTACATATTAATGTAGTCAGAGGTGTTACTAGAAACCACAGGGCCCCGGTGCAGAAATTGCCCTGGAGCCCCCCCAAACTTCTCCCAATTCCCCCAGCCCCTCCATGTGTCACATCCACGCCCCCCAAACCCGCCATGTGTTTCATTTACTCCACAGGGCGAGTGTGGCATTGTTGGGGGGGGATGAGTATGACAGAATTTCATGTGATAGGGTGAAAGTGATAGAAAATGATTGTGACAGTGCTAGAGAAGGTGAGTGTGATAGGGTGAATATTGCAGAGTAATGGTGAGTATGGTATGTGTGAGTGACAGGATTGGGGGTGTTATTGTGAGTGTGGCAGGGTGAAGGGGGCAACAGTGTGTGTGGTGGGTTGACAGTTACACAGACACACATGCAGATAAACAGACAAACACACACTGTCATACATATAGATACACACTATATAACACATACAGATACATACACAGATACACAGATATGTAATGACAAACGTATGGATACACAGAATGACACTCATACAGATACAATCAGTGACACACATACAGATACATAGGCAGACACTGACATACAGATATGCAGACGTACAGATACACATATAGACACACATGCAGACAAACAGATACACATGCAGACACATGCACACATACAGACACGCACATACATACAAACAGACAGACACATACATACAGACACACTTACATACATACAAACAGACAGACACATACATACATACATACAGAAACATACATATATACAAACGCACACACACACAGAGACACATACATACAGACACACATACAGACAGAGAGACTCATACATACAAACACAGAGAGAGACACATACAGAGACATACATACAGACACGCATACACAAACACACACACACATATGTAAAATTGTATAGTCTCCCTCCTGTTTCCTACCTTTTAGGTGCAGGAGGGAGACTTTCCCTGGGTCCAGTGGTTGGTTCCAGCTAATGGGAGTCAGTGTTCCCACTCTGACTCCCTCCTCTCCTTCCTCCTCCCGCGCGGCTCTCTGTGATAGCTGGGAGGGAGTGACCAGGGCAGTCAATTCCTCCCAGGTTCTGACATCATCAGAGGGGGCCCAGTTGCGCTGTTAAAGCGCAGCACTGACCGGGACCCCTAAAAATTCACCGCACAGGCCAGGGCCGCATTACATGGCTGGCGGGACTACCACAGTCGCATGGGTCTGCAGGGCGGCCGAGCCCCCTGGAGTGACGTAAGACATTGCTGTTTCAGAGAAACACCAATGTTTACATTTGATAGTAAAAGACCTCTGGTGGCTGTCAGTCTATAAGCCACGAGAGGCCACATCCTCATTGAAACCTTCTAGTTTTTTTAATATATCCACATTAGCGTCATCAAACATGGCAAGCATTAGAATAGTTCAAAGATCATCATACTTGAAGTGGCTGCAGAGTAAAAAAATGATCAAAAAGATAAGTTTATGTTGGGGGGTGTTAAATAATGGGGAGCTATTGTTGTAAGCAAACGTCTAAATTTCTATATTTTGTATGTGTTTGTTGTGTTAGTAAACACAAAAGTGCTGTAAATAGAAAAGTTAACTTTTAAATCTCCCATTAAATTGCCCTTAGTGATTAACCAATTGCAGATTAAGTAAGAAACTGGTATTAACCCCAAACTATGAAATCTAAGGTCACTTCAGATCTTAATGAATTACCCACAAGGTGTTAGTATGCCCAGAGAAAGGGCAGTTGCAGCAGCCATGGTTCCTCACAGGTTTCCTCCTGGGAGGGGGTTTCTGTCCTGAGTGCTGCTGTTCATAGGAAATTATTTAAAAAATAAGACCATTACAAGTTATAAATCTATAGGTTTCAGTATAAGTATAGTTACAAGCTCTGTTTATACTATTATGTAATATTACAATTGTTCATAATAATTATATCGTATTTTATCCTAGAATGTAATATTTTACACATTCATGTATATGTCAATAGGAGTTTTGACGGGATATGCTGCTGTAACTACTAAATGTTTTGAAAAAATTAAAACTATTGCAAGTTACATATTAATAAGTTTAAATCTAAATATCTTTATAAACTAGGCTTATTCTATCATGTAATAATGCTAGTGTTTTTCATACTATTATGTAACGTGTATTTTATAATATATTGATAAGGTGTGTGTGTCCCGTCCCCTCTGGGATCACAGTTGTTTTTGCAGTGTCATTGTCTAACTAAGAAATCAGTCATTTCTACTGTCGTTGATTAACCTGCAGTTTTAGTGCAGATGGCCAGCATATGGCAAGCTTTGGGACATGGCTGGAGCTGATGCAAGTAGTGAAAGACCCTTGCTAAGCAGAGAGAGAGGCCCTGCATTTGGACCTGTTTAATTCAATGCTTAGAGGAGTGCTGGAACATCCTGAAACAACATTCTAGCAGACAGCTATAACCAGCTCAAGATACAGAACAGTTGTAGCAGAGATTGCTGTGAAAAAGGGAGGAATTCTTATCTGGAGTCAAAAGAGCAGGCACTTTTCCTGAACTGATCTGCTTGTAGACTGAGAAGTCTACTGAGAAGAACCACTTGCCCTGTTTCAAAAGGGCACCTTGAAACTGCTTACACTATTAAAATACCTTGATCTCCAGTTTTACTGACCTGTGGAAGGTTTCTTAAAACCCATGCCACATTTAGGGCCAGATTAAGAGCCCAGTGGGCCTGGTGCTGACAATTATGACGGGCCTAATTACAGAATCATATCGACCAAAAACAGTAAAACACTCCCAAGCATCATGTATCTGATGGAGATGGTGCTGGAGAGAAAGAAAACAGCAGCTATAAGAAAACACATACCCTAGGCTAATTTATGTTTTTATCTTTCAAGTAAATCCATAACCCCTAACAGCAGTGTCCAGTCAAGCAGGAAGTCAATGGGCATGGTAAAAGGGTGTGCCACTGACACAAATCACGTAACCTGCAAAAAGGGGCGAACATGCCCAAAAAGAGGACATGTCTGCTCAAAGAATTAGAAGGCCAGCCTGGCATGAATGCATGTCAGGCTGCCTGCCAATCATGCAGCTGGCCAACGAAGGGCATACTATGCAGACAGCACCCTGAGCTTGGCATAAATGCATCTA